GTGGATTATATACATACAGATACAGATGTAATATGTATAATCCATTTGTCTGTCATTCCTGTGGCAATAAGCCAAGACCAACCATATGAGAAAAGCAAAGGCTACTACTTAGATGGCGAGAGAGGGAACATAATAAGCATGGGCAGGGGGAGAGGGAGACGCAGGCTCCCTATTGATCAGGGAGCCTGATGCAGGATTTGATCCCAGGACCCTGGGATCATGACCTAAGCTGAAGGCAGATGCTTAGCTGTTGAGCACCTCCCACACACACACCACTTGAATTCTTGCAAACAAAGGGAAGCTGAGGAGGAGGAACAAAGGGAAGGCTTCAGGCATGGTCTGCCTAGGGGCTGTGGGCTTGGGGAGGCTGGAGGTGGGCTCACTGGAGGGGAAGGAGCAGCTTCTGTGGCTGGTGAGGAGTGGATATGTGGCTCTCTGTGGTTGGTGCTCAGCTGTAAGTGGACATAAAGTTAGCGGTCAGTAACTCGTCAAGCCCTGGCCCTTCTGGGCGGATTGTTAGAGAAGTGACTGCTCGCCTTCCTGGAGTGTTTCTGGAGGTAGCAATCTGGCTTCCCTTGAGTCTGTCTTCCAGAAGGCTGGAGTCCCTGCCGCTCAGTGCAGATCGGGGCATGGTTTCCCCGGGGTTGTGGGTCAGAGTGCTGTTTTTATCTACGGTCCGACCACCGTTGTTCCTCTGCCTACTCAGTCTCTTGTCCTTCCCTAGGATATAAATGGTAAGAATGTTGTTTTATTTACTGCTCGGACCCCAGAGCCTAAAATAGCGGCTGGAGCCTCATAGGCACACGGTGACTGTTTGCCACCGATTATCATAATGTTTGTCCAGATCTAGTGAGACGTACCGTGGTTCTGCCGCAGGACCCGGGCAGCAAACCCACCGCAAGCTCGCAGGATGCAGTCCCGAGTCTCCCAATGTTTGTTGAATGCTCTCTGCGTACCCAGGAGGCCCTGTCTGGGGCTTTGTTAGGTGACGCAGGACAAGCATCGGTTGAAAATGGGTTGAAGGCTGAGATTCTGCATGCTTTCACCTTTGCTCAAAATTTCTCTTCTCTTGCAGTTTGAACTCATCTCCACCTTTAAGGACTCACAGGTTCCGGATCCCGCATTAGACTCAGAGACTGCTGGGGCCCACACCTGCTTTCTCCAGCACCCACTACCTGTGAAGATCGTTTACCCCCCAAAGAGGGCCTGTGTGGGAGCTGGTCGTCTTTTTAATGAGCTGGTTATCTTCTCAGTTGGATTATTCCCTTTTAGAGCAGGAGCTGACTCTTACCCCCAAAACAGGTGGTCTGAGCTTCTCTCCATCCCCCTCCCCTGCTATGTTTGACCTTTTCCCTGATCACACATCTCCTGATCACACATCTCCCGATCACATGTCTCACGGGCCCTGGGGTCCTGCCATTTTCCACACACGGAAGTCCCACCCCACTCAGCACTGCCGTTTGGAGACGGATGCCGGCCTGACAGCCCAAGCCCGGGACCCCCTCTTCGGGCATCTTAATTATTTTCTGAGACGGGCTTCCCATTAAGTCTTCTACAAAAATATTTGAGTAATTCTGAGTTATCTATTCTTCCAGAAACATTTGGATTAATTTATCTTTCAGACAGAACATTCCAGGGAGGGGGTGCCTGGGTGGCTTAGTAGGTTAAGCGTCCTGACTCTTGGCTTAAGCTCAGGTCATGATCTTAGGGTTGTGAGATCGAGCCCCAAGTCAGGGTCGGCACTCAGTGGGGAGTCTGCTTTGGAATTCTGTCTCTCCCTCTGCCCCTCCTTCGGCTCTCACTCTCTCTCTCAAATAAATAAATAAATCTTAAACACACACACACTGACACATTCGCTCTCTCAAGGAACCAACAAGTGAATAGACCAGGATGGTATGGAGAGTAGAATCTTCAGGGAGGGCTTATCAGCAGGCTAAGGTCAACCATAGCAGACGGAACAGAAGCTCCTCAAGGGCAGGGACTTGGGGGCAGCTGTGTCTACTCAGGAATCGACACCTGGCACACAGTTGATGCTCCAGAAATGCTTATGAATGAATGGGAGTTATAAATGCGCACATGAAGTTTGAAACGCCAAGTTTGAGTAGCTATTGTTTTCAGTAGTCACTCGTTTCCTCGCCTTGACTGCCTCAGCCATCACAAAGCACATTACATTAAAAAAAAAAAAAGGCAAAGATAGAAGCATAGATGCAGAAGAGGGCCCTGAGGCGTGAAAGCGTCCATGCCCGGCTTCTGTTCCGGAGCCACACGTGCTCGAAACGCCCTGCTTCCCACGGAGCGCGAAGGGAAGCTTGAACTCCAGGATTCAGCACGTGGTTTCAGATCCCTCAGCGAGGACAGGTCCCCCTGTAGTCTCATCCCTGAACACCTCTGCCCCAGTTTCATGACTCAGAAGCAGGCGACCAGACGTCAGTTACAGAAGTCCGTATGTGCGTAAGGCCTTGAAAGGGAAATGTGAGAAATTTTTTCACAAGATCCATAGCACCCCCCAGCTTAATTTTACTCAGATAACGCCCCCCTCCCACCAAGCCGCAAACCTGGTGAATGTTAGAAAACAAATGACCTCTGCCTTGGACCTCGGACTTCTGATTTCCCCTCACGCAGGAGCCAAAAGTGCAAAGGAAAAAGCAGATTTTCTCTTGGCCAAAGAAAGCCTCTCCTGGAGCTGCTCTTAACCCCGTGCCTTGGCTTCCTCCGGGCTCTCCTCTTGGGGCTTGGAGGGCAGGTGGCTCTTCCTACCCGACACCAGGGAAGACACCGGGCTCCTCCAGCAGACCCCAGCCTTCAGGAAGTCCCTGCCTGTGCCCGACTTAAATCTCTCCGGGCCGAGAAGCCCAGCTCCCGCTTGCCCTGTCATCTCTGGAGGAGGGGGAACAGCTGCTCACTGCTCTCCTTGTAATCATCCTTAACGGGCTCCTAAACAGTTGCGAGAACCCCCTTCAGCCTTCTCTGAGCCTCATTTTACTTGCGTTGAGGCTGAGAGCTTCTGAGGAAGGCATTCTGCTCAGAGCTCCCCAGACCTGTGGAGTCTTAAATGGGTAATCAGCCTCTTGACCCACTTTCACCTCCGCAAATGAACAGCTCTGCCTCCTTCTGCGAAAGTTAGATCTATTTGGGGGAGTTCCCTGGCAACCAACCCTTATTAATAAAGCACGCCTGCTCTAGGCCAGGACAGGGCATTTTTTTAAGTGTTTCTTTCCCTTGAGAAGTCACACTGTGCACACAGTAGACGCACAGCGGCTCCCTCGAGGTTCTGCATTTGCGGGATCATGGGCCTGGGGAGGTCGCATCTGGCTCCCCAGCTGAGAAGGGTGTTGCTCTAATAGACTCTTGCCTGGGCCTTTCTTGTGGTTATTGGACTAGGAGCATAGCAGCTGGCGGGGGGGCAGCAGGACATAGAATTATGGCAAGACTTGCTCAGCCTCCACTAGGCGCATACTGGGAAGTTCCACCTTCTGCTCCGTCCCGCTATGGTTCATGCCCCCTGGGGAAAGTCCCAGTTGTGTGGTTGGTTTGAGCTTCCCATTGTGTCTCCACTTTGGGTCCTGTGGTTCCCTCCAGTGGCAGGAGGAAAGGGAGGAACAGGGCAGGGAGGTGGGACGGTGAGCATTGTTTCAGCTTTGAGAAAGAGTGATTTCATTTCAAGAGAAGTTTTAACCGGGACGGCTAAGATGAAAAGGACCGACAACACCAAGTGTGGGGAAGGAAGTACAGCCGTGGGAACTCTCAGTCATTGCTGAGGGAAGTGTACATCAGAACCTCCCACTTTGGGATTCTGGGCCAATTCCAGCAACAGCTCTGACAATTCCACTTCTAGGAATATGCTCAGAAGGAACAGGGGTTTATGAGCTGGGAAAAATGTGCACAAGAACGTTCATAACGATGGGATTTATAATAGTAAAACAGCAGAAGCAGCCACCCAAGTGCAGAATGGATAAATAAACCAAGGCATGGTCCTGCCGTGAAAGAGGACAAACGGCGGAGAGAAATGAATGACTAATCTACAGCGTCACGTGGGTGATGCTCACAGACGTGATGCCCAGCAAAAGCAGCAGACATAGGAGGACCTCGGTGGCTCAGTCGGGTAAGCATCGACTCTTGGTTTCGGCCCGGTCATGATCTCAGGGTTGTGGGATCGAGCCCCAAGTCCAGCTCTGAGCTCAATGGGGCATCTGCTTGAGATTCTCTGTCTCCCTCTGCTGCTCCCCCCACCAAGAGAAATAACTAAATCTTAAAAAAAAAAAAAAAAAAAGCCACACACAAAGAGCATGTTCTGTGTGATTGCATTTATAGAAATTCAGAAAAGGCAAAAACTAATCTATGATGATAAAGATCGGAATAGCGGCTGCCTCAGAGGGGAGCCTATTATGAGTGGAATGGCTTAGATCTGTGCACTTGACTGACTATAAGTTATACCTCCATAAAAAAAAGAATACAAGAAGGCATCCATTGTGTTTTCTTCTTCCCAGATGAATATCTCATTATTTATGTGTCCATTTTTCTTTCACTGCTCTGCTTCTTTTGAAACAGATTTGAGGTGACTTAGGAAGGTATGTGGCTTTGGGTGTGTTCATCAGGGAAGCCATCAGAGCAGTGTTACACTAAGGGCAGGGGATTGTGGTGAAACCCACTGGGAGGGGAGCCCTCTGTGTTTTCATCAGGAAATCCCCGAGTGCTTCCTACAGAGCTTCCCAGCAGTCAACACGAAGAAGAAACACAATTCCACAACCAAAAGTTAACAGTTTATCTGATCAGAGGACAGAGACCCAAAAGAAATTTCTCCCATGCTCTCTCAGAAAAGGGCAACTACATGTGTTTTAAACATCCCATTTGGGGCCCTGGTTCTCCGAGTCCTTCAGCCCATGTTTTCACTCCTGGTGCTCCCACCCCTGCCCACGTGGGAATTAGGGAGAGGCAGTCTCCCAGGGACACTCAACTCTCCTCCCCCATGCTGCGATGTGGGGTCTGCACCCAGAAACCCCTTACTTTCCTGGGTGCAGTTTGGAGGAACCCCTGACTGCTCTTTGGGGTGCTGGGCTTGGCATCCTGGTTTCTGGAACTGGGTTGTCCTCAGCCGGGGCTTTGCTGCTCAGCCCATGTCGCTCACCGGTGCTCCTCGGTGGCCTGGCTCTATAGGGAGCAGCTCCCTGGGGGCCAGTCTCTTTCCATGTTGGCATTTGGGTTGAGGGATCTTTCCACTTTCTGGCTCCCGTGTTTGAGTTGAATTCATATACTGCCCCAGTAACTAGGAGAAAAAAATATATAACCACCATATAAACGAGGGAATTCAAATGCTGTCTTCCCCCATGTTCACCCCACTCCCTTCTAACCCCAGGGAAAGAGGAAAGGCACAAGGAGGGGTGAGTCATGGAGAGAGGAAGCACGCCCGTGAATGGCACAATCTTCACCAGTCTGCCCTTTCTATGAGCTTTAGGACTCTGACCACATGGGTAGCAAATATCACGCCTCCCCGGATAGATGGGCTTAGGACAGGCTCCTGGTTGCAGGGTTAGAAAGCCACATAAATCTTGAATTCCATGTCCACATTGGATAAATTCAGTTCAGTTTCTAATGGGGTTCCCCATTATGTTCTGATTTTTTAAAAAAGATTTTATTTATTTTTTTTTGCAGAGAGAGAGAGAGCAAGAGAGCCTGAGCTGGCGGGAGGGGGGCACAGAGGGAGAAGCAGGCTCCCCGGTAAGCAGGGAGCCAGAAGCAGGGCTCAATCCCAGGACCCCAGGATCACGACCTGAGCCAAAGGCAGATGCTTCACCGTTGGAGCCACCCAGGCGCCCCTGATGGGTTTCTTTTAAAAGCCCCGTGAATCCCAGATATAAGAAGGAAGTCCCCGGGATAAGGAGAACGGGACTCTGATTCTGATGTCTGTTGGGTTAACGGGCATCTGGAGGCACAGACACGGAGCTGGTACAGGAAGCCATCTTGGCGGAGTCAGAGCAGCAGACACTAATTGGTGCGCCTGTTCGCATAGTGCACTTGGCGCCTCTTTTTCTTGTCCCCTTCTCTCAAGCACACACGTGTGGATAACAGCCGTGGGCTCCCGGGCTTTGGCCCCAGGAGACGGAGTCTCAGGCCACCCTCTGCTCTTGTCATTTCCGTGAGGCATGAGTGGCCTCTCGGCAGAGGATCCCACCAGCACTTATGCTAATGTGGGCACATTATGGTAACAAGTACCTAATAATAGAGGGAAATTTAATTCCAGCAGCAGCAGCAGCCTCTCCTGGAGAGGAGCCATCCTTCCGAGAAGGACCGAGCGGCTTGTGTGTGAGGATGGCAACGTGCCAACACCCTTGCCTCCCGAGTTTGGTTTCCTTCCCTTTATTCACATCTATAATTGAGCCTTTGTGAGTGGAGGGATGTGTGTAAAGGAGCTAAATTTGGAGCTGATTTCATGGGGGTGAGGGGAGCGCTAGGGGCCAGCTTTACCTTATGTTCATCTTGCTGACCAAGAAGAAATTCTTGGCCCTGATCAAGGGGGAGAGGGAGCCAAGCATGCCATTGCTCCATCTCTCTCACCGCCCATGGGACAGGGTTAGGAGCATTCAGAAAGGACTGGGGGAGGAGGTCACGCCAAACAGTAGGCAGAAGGCACCAGTCCCCTGAGCTGGTTTGCCATTTAGGAAGGGAGGACAGCCGGGGCGGGGGGCTTTCCGTGGAAATCCACGGAAGACCTCACCCGTGGTCGGGCATCTGCCAGCTCCAAGGCCATCTCCCCCCGGGGTGACAGCCAGAAGGGTAAGGAAACATCATCAAAAGGAAGGACAAACGGAGTCAAGGGCAGGACCTTGGATAGGGTCCCTCCATGACTTTACCCACCAGCATTGTAGAAAACATCTTTTGGATGGACAGGATTGCCACTTCATTACCTGGGTCGATGGCTTCTCCATCAAAGACAGAGTTCATCTGGATTGTTTCCTAAGGAGGAGAAAGAGACAGCTTGAAGCCCAAATCTACACACACCCTGCCAGGCCAGGCCCCTCATCATCACAGCTGGCTGCTTTCTGTACCCAGGGCCTTCTTGACCCTTGTCTACTCGCTAGGCACGTGCTCGATGCTGGGGACCCAACAGTGAACATGACAGGCGTGGGGGCTGTGTGCACAAAGCTTGCAATCAGGGGAGCCCCTGCCAACAGGTGCACAGCATAGGGTAATAAAGTGGACCATGGGACTCTGACGTGCTGGGGAGGGGGCGCAGGAGGACATCTAATCCAACTTGGGAGGCAGGAAAGCATCCCAAGTAAATACTATATAAGCTGCACAGAAAGAAGAGCAGAAATGCCACACAACCTTGGCTGAGACCCCCTTTAGGCCTCAGTGGGATCTGTCAGACAAGCAGGCAAGGCAGGCAGAATGGAAAACTCACGTGCTCCCGCCTGTGGGCTCTGACTGTATCCCCTTGCCTAGGCCAACACAGTATTGCATCTGGGCCGGGCCTGCCTTCCCTACGCCCTGGGCTCCAGCTCCCCGCCTTTCCCCCTTATCTGTTCCACCCTCCTGGGGCTTGACCTCTGTCCCCATGGAAGCATCCCCTTCCCTCACAGTGTGCTCTCCGGAGCTGCCCCTCTCTAGCAAGCTAATGAGGATGGTATTTGGCATCTAGGGGGCCTTTCCACACCAGTTCTCATCCCACCAGCCATCATCTACGTACTGGCCCACAGCTCCCCAATTCCAACGACAGAGGAAATGGAGACCATATGCGTTTTATTCATGCGAAGAGTTCAACACTTTTTATGGCCATGGAGATTTACTTATTTAATTGATTAATTTAATAGTACATATTTCTAAGGTGCTTTCTGAGTGGCATCACCAAGGGGACTTAAGAGATCCCCTCTTCCTCCTGAGTGTAGACAGGCTCATCTGGATAAGCACTTAGGTGCCGGACCTGAAGCAGAAATTCTGGAGCACAGAATAGCATTCATCATTGTGCATCTCATTCCCCCCATTTATGGGTCTCGGATCATAACAGAATCTTATTATCAGGGGGTGAGGGAGACTGGGGAGGTCACCTTCAAGTTCTGTCACTTCCCAGTGGGCAGATCAGGTTCAGTAAAGGAAAGCAAGGAGGTTAGCCTGGGGGGCGGCGGGAGACTCTCCAGCTATCTTGTAAACCTTGGCATTTGTGTGAGTCTCAGCAGCTTGCAAGGTAGTTCCTCACCTGCAACCCCAGGGCAGGTGTTCTCACGCCCATATTACAGGTGAGGAATCCAAGGCTTAAACAGGCCAAGGGAGAGAGACTGCAAGGTCATACAGCCAAGCTGGCCGAGCGGACCTGTGGCCCAAGCACCTCCCCATCTCCCTCGCTTTTCCACGAGGTTGTGGAACAGCAAAGAAAAAAAATCAATCCCACCGAAGACTGAGGCTCCCGTTCTGGTCCTTAAGCTCTTCTCCCCCCAACTCACTCTCCTGGGGAACTGGTGTAGATAATAAACACCACTATTCAATATTTATGAAATCCACTTCTTCTGCAAATATATCAGCAGACATGTTCAGTGGAGGGAACAAATTCTATCAGGGGCCCGTCACACAGCAATCTGTTCCAGTGGCCAAATGCAGGCATCTCCCTGAATGATAAACTCTCCTGTGAGGCTGGGGCAGGGTCTGCCTGAGAAGGGTTGGGAGCAGCCCACCACATGTCACCCAAGCCAGGGGCCCCGCAGCCACCCACACTTACCACCAAAACCTCTGGCTTCGTATCCTTCATTTCTGCAGGGAGTAGAACAGATAGAAGTGAAGCTCCTTGGACATTAAATTGACCTTAAAATTCTACCTCCACAATGGGATTTCTCTTCAACAGGCTTTGAACCTAGTATTGCAGACCTGACAAGGAATTCTCTGTCTGTAGAAATGTTTTTTTTTTTTAAGATTTTATTTATTTATTTGACAGAGAGAGAGAGAAATCACAGAGCAGTGGGCAGAGAAAGAGGGGAAAGCAGGCTCCCCACCAAGCAGAGAGCCCGATGTGGGGCTCGATCCCAGGACCCTGAGATCATGACCTGAGCCGAAGGCAGAGGCTTAACCCACTGAGCCACCCAGGCACCCTCTCTGTAGAAATGTTTATTGACAGTTTTCTGCTTTCTCAGAAAAATACACACACATGCACACTCATATAATAATGTACAGAATTTTTGTTTGGAATGTTACTCTTTTCCCAATTTACTCCTATTACTGGACCTGGGTAATAAGCTTTTCACGGAAAGATAAGAAAGAAAGATCCAGTTGATACATTTGTTCATATTGTGAGGATTCTTTGCATCTGTTCCCCGTGCCCTTTTTAGAAAGTAACTAGGGTGGGTGACAGTCAGCGAAGACCTCATTAAAATCTTTTCATTTGATGTGATCAATAACCATTATAGTCAAATTTCTAACCCCACTTAGTGCCTTGTGCATATCAGCCAGGCATGCCTATGGATTGAGTGATTAAAGCAATCTTTTTGGGGATGCCTGGGTGGCTCAGTCGCTTAAGCAACTGCCTTTAGCTGAGGTCGTGATCCTGGAGTCCCAGGATCGGGTCCCACACCAGGCTTCCTGCTCAGTGGGGAGTCTGCTTTGTCTTCTGACCCTACCCCTCTCGTGTGTGCTCTCTTACTCTCTCTCAAATAAGTAAATATAATCTTTTTTAAAAAAGGGCTTTTTTTTTTTAAGCACACTTCCCAGTTCTCTGTCCTGTCTCTCCCCGTAGCCTGGGTTCCCCTCAAGGCAGCAACTTTGGGGGCTGGGTCTGTCGTCCCCCTAGGCTTGGTGTCCTTATTCAGATGGGAACTTGCTCAACTCACCAGCGGCCCAGCTCTCTCCGCCCATCTAGCTGTACCCCGCCCCCCTTTCCCACTCTCCTGACCCAAATAACTTGCAAAAATGATCAAATCTGTTACAATCTGGGAATAAAGTGTTATTTGTTCTTGCAAAAGAGGCATCTGTCCAATACAGAGCATTCGCTGTCCTCCGGCACCGTCCCACCCCTCCATGTGCAACAACCAGTAGATACTGTCTGTGTCTCACTCATGCAGAATTCTTCACTCCTGGCCCGCTTGGCAGGGAACAGACCTCTATGTGCCTCCATCCCGCTGGAAGGAGGCAATCCTGGGTAAGGACCAGGCAGGACTCAGAGGAGAGATCTGAGTGTGCAAATGGCACCGTGCGCCCTGCCCTGCCCTTTCTCTGGCTACATCTGACCTCTGCGTCATTTCAGCCACAGAAGACGTGATTGAAAACGCACTGAGACAGAACTACACCCCGATTCTCGGCTGACTTGGAATCTTTCTGTTTAGTACAAGAGAACAGGCAAAAACCCAACAACAACAGCAGCCAGAGTCAAAGGGAATCGGCGTGGTACTTACCTCCTTGCTTCACCCTGTGGGGAAAAACGAGAGATGGACAAGAATGAGCCCGAGAGTATTCTGCTCTGGTTCACATGGGGCCTTTGGGCAACTGTGCTCCTTGGGATTCAGAGACTGATTAAAAGAGGGGCCAGGCTTGGGGACTAAAGTGAAGGCTGGGCTCCCATCCCTGCTCCAAACAGAGCAGTTCCATCACTGTTGGTGTGGGAACTAAAGAGGTTCTGGGAGTTGGCTAAGCTTGAAAACTACTGCCTTATCGAACTTGAGGGAATGTATTTCCTCTGACAGCACAGGTGAGGAGGGCATGACCAGCGTGCCCGGCAATTCTTCCTGCCTCCTTTTCCTCCCCAGTAGCCAGCTTGAGCAGAAGGTTTGGCTCACAGTGGAAGCTTCCAAGCTGGCATAAACCCTGTTTTCCTATAACAGGAAGACCTGGACTAGGTTGTTAAGCCCCTTCTTGGGATAACCTTGGGTTCCATAATTTTGCAACTCTCTTATCTTCTTTGCTGTTGGACAAACGTTGGCTGCCATATAGTTCACCTAATTTCCAGAGAGGCAAGGCCTGAGTCTGTATTACTAGCCAGTTTTTCTTCTTTAAGTCAACCATGTCAGAAACAATTAATATTTAGGATGTAAATTAAGGCAACCAGGTTCAAGGTACACGTAACCACAAATTACGTGAGAGTTGTGGTGTCTAGTGGATGACTTCCTTTAAGGACTTCTGTCCAAACCCCGTCATGAAGCACCAACCATCCTTACAAGCTTAAGTGTCACTCTTTTGAAGACAATTTTTTCTTCCAAATCAATTTGTGAGTAGAGCCCAAACAAAAATGTCTCTTTTAATTTCAGCAGATGCTCACGGATTTCTTACCTTGAAGTCAAGGTTGCCAATAGCAACGAACTTCCCCAATAAATATGGCAAAATGCAATGCACATCTTTATGCCAATGCCTTATACTTTTGAACACACTTTTCATCCATAGATTTTAAATTATTCGACAGTAGTCGGTAATCGGCAAAATAACTTTAAAAGGTATAGGAAGTCCCATCTCTCCCTTGTTGTGCCAAAACTTGGGTTCCAACTGCCCGAGATACCTGAGCATAGAGCTAAACTTCGAATCAAGAATCCTGAGCTCACTGGGACTCAGCCACAAAAAATAATGCAACAAGCCCCAACAAACACTATATTAAGCATTTACTCAACATCGGAAACAGTGCTAAGTGTTTCCTTTGCCTTTGCTCATTTGATTGTCTACTTTTCAAATAAGGAATTGAGATTCACAGAGGTCGCCACTGATCTGAGGCTATATAGAAAATGGTGAGCCCAGATCCAAACTGGTCCTTGTCCCTCTCCAAGCCCAGGCTCAGAACCATCATGCTGTCATGGTGGGAGCTTCTGAGACTCAAGAAACTGGGTCTTGGGGAAGCCTGGAACAACGACGCGCTCTCTCTCCATTTCACTCTGGTGGCTCATTTCAGCCAGGAAAAGACACTCCACGGAGTACCTGGTAAGAGGCACGTGAGTGAGCAGGAGGAAACAAGAGGGAGGGGAAACGGCCGCTGCTTCCAGCCCTGGAGAGTGAGAGATTGGGGTCACATGCAAATGAACAATGATGATTTAGTCACGCAAAAGCCCAATGAGTCACTGGAGCCAAAAGCTTAAATCCCTTATCAGTTTTCTGTGCTTCCTCTAATTCCCTCCCATCCTTTAGATATTCTGCATATACCAGCATAGCATATCCTATCACTACTCAAAACCAGGCTTTTTTTTTTTTTCCCTGAAGCTTGTATCCAGGGCAAGGCCACCGGAGGATGAAGCCCCAGTTTCATTGGGAATGTATCAAGGATGGAGCAGGTGGCAGGGAAAACCAAAGGAGCCATTTCCTGGCCCAGCAGGTGATGAAGAGGGAACCAGGACTGAAGGGAGCTGGGGTTCCTTCCCCCCCCGCCCACTTCTTCCTTCACTCTAGGCTCCCTCCCTACCCTGGAGAGAAATCCCAATTCCTTCCATTCCCTCTCCTGACATCGCTGGAAACAGTGTCCTAAAGGAAGTGGTGGAAAGGGCCCAGCCCACCGACAACTTACGGAAGTTTCCTGTGCTTCCCAGTCTTGCAGAGACAGTGTCTGTGGATGGCTTTGGCCAACAGGACGAACAGGGACCCCAGGAGTCCCAAAAGCAATATGGAGCCCAAAGTGATGACAAAAGGCACATACCACGCTGATGGAGAATAGACGTTTTTTCTCAGGACCTGGTAGATGACCCTGGGCTTGAATGACAGAGGGAGGGGGGTGTGAGCGGAGGGTGGTTTTGGACCCATCTCTGACATCAGCCCTCTCTCACATCAAGTGTCTGGGGCATCCGTGTGCTCCCAGTTTTTGCTGCTTCAACCTGTCCCCTTATTTATAGTCTTTCCAAGCACCCAGGAGATCAAAACATAGAAAATTTAGGGAACTGAAAAGCAACTCCAGGCCTATTTTTACTCTCTTCCCCTTCCCAAACACTAAAAATCCCATTGGCTTTTTTCCCTGCCAAATCATGGCATAACCCTGGGACAAATATAGCCATTGTCTCTCACTGGGAAGGCATGCGCCACAAAAGTTGTTCTCTTTAACACTTTGTAGGCTTTGCCATGTTCCCTTGCTGCAAGCTGCACTGCCAGATAACACAGGGCTAATGGCACAGTGAAGCCTCAAGCTTGGCATCTGCTTTCTAGAGAGGGAGACAGGACCCAAGGTATGGAGACAGGACCCAAGGTATGGAGATCTGGGGGCTGGAGATGTCACCATCGGGTCATGCAAGCCCCAGAAGGGTGGCAGTTCCTTACTCACGGGAGATGAACATGGACCAGCTCTTGTTAGGACTCTGACAAGCAGAAATTGACCACTGGTCACAGGTAGCTAGGTTCTGATGACTTCTTCTCTAGCACACTGCATGTGTGGGGCTGCCTGCTAAGGGCTCATCTTTCCTAAGAACAGAAGTTAGAGTCCCTCCAAGGAGAGGGAGGAGATAATCCTATTGTCAGACTTCAAGCCTCTCCCTTCCTTCATCACACTGGTTTTACTAGGGCACCTGCTTGCTTGCTTCCTACTATCTACTATGATCTGCAGTGAATGAATGAATTTGGATACCTGTCTGTCATCTGTCTTCATCTCTAGATCACAGCTCTCAAACTGTAGAGCATGTTGGAATCCCCTTGGAGCCTTATTAAAGTCCCAGACTGCTGGGCCCCCACTCCCGGAGCTTCTGATCCAGTGGTTCTGGGGACGTGGCTGAGGACTCCAGGTTCCAGTATCTTTCCCTAGAGGTCATGGTGATCATCGCAAGGGCAGTATTCTGGGGGTGGGCCTAAGAATTTGCATTCCTAACAGATTTCCAAGTGATGCTGTTGCTGATGGTCTAGGCACCACTGATCTATTGGAAGCTCGTGACAGCCGAGATCATTTTTGGCTTGTTCACCAAAGAGCTTGGTGTGTTATAGGTGTTGAATTGATATTTGTAGATTGAACCAATGAATTTTTTTGGCATGGGGGTGGGCAGTAGGGTACAGGTTGGTGCATAGGGACTCTTCAAAAGAAGTGGAGAAGAGCATACAAGCAGCTGCATTTATGAACGTTGACTCACAGTGGCTCTTAAGAGCAAGCCCAGAAGCTATTGAGACAGTAGCTGCTGGCCACATGTCCATGAAAACTGACTCCTGTGCCAACCATACAAGGTCAATACCTGATCTGTCACAAGTCACTGTGGAAATGCACATTCTTCTTTAACAACACAGGGAACACTAATGGGTCTACGAATCCAAGGTCTCACTCCGAACTTTGTCTACCACCCAGTGACTGCTCCAGTCCAGCCCATAGTTGGCGCTCCTTGCAACATCCTAGCACCTCAACTCTTTTCAGCCCATCCTATATTTCTCCTGGGTCAAGGGGCTCCATCCCTGTGCATCACAAGGACCCAGAGCCCTTACCCTGGGGGTTGTGGTGACAGTTGTGGTGGGGTGAGGAATGACGCTAATACTCAGCGTCACCGTCCCTGTTTCAATGCGAGCCTGAGCTTTCTTCCTGCCAGACAGCAAGTTGTCGTCAGTTACATAGACAAGTAGTTTGTAGTCCCAGATCTTGTCAAGCCCACTGGCATAGTCAAAGCGTGTTGCAAGGAGCAGGCTTGTAACGTTGGACCCGGCGCTGGGAGAGAAGGTGAAATGACTGTTGATGTTGCCTAAAGGCGGTGTGATACAAGGATTTGGGGAAAAGAAAGAAAAGAGAGTAAGAAAAGGGTTTAGACGAAAACCGCATTCCATCGTTTCCTCAAACATCCATGCCTCAGTTGTCGGCTGTGTTTCTGACACACCAGAACCAGGTCAGTGATGTGACGGGGGCCATAATGACACCAGAGGTCTCATGGGAACAGAAGAGCTCTTGCAGGGCGTTTGGGTGACTCAGTCAGGTAAGCATCTGTCTTCAGCGCTGGTCATAATCCTGGGGTCCTGGGATGGAGCCCCTCGTCGGACTCTCTGCTTCTCCCTCCCCCTCTGCCTCTCTCCCTGCTCATGCTGCTCTCTCTCTCTCTCTCTCACATGCTCTCTCTCAAATAAATAAAATCTTAAAAACAAAACAAAACAAAACAAAAACCAAAAACTCTTGCTCACAGTGAGGCTGCAGCAAGAATGAGGTAGAAAAGAATAGCAACATGCCTGTCCCAGGAGGATGGCTTCCATCTTTCCGGGCATCAGGTGGAGAAGTAATAGTCCTGGGGCAGCCTCTCTAGCCAACTCTCATTGCCAGCGTTTGTTTGGTAACAGTGTGTAACTCACACTCAGACCCGCGGGGTAGGGGGCGGCAGGGAGAAGATAGAGGAGGCTGCGTCTCCAGCCTTAGGTCAAATTCACTCCATTGTCTTGAGTGGAACCTAGCTGGCCACCTTGGTAGCCACAGCGGTGGTACCTCCTGGCTCGCAGGGGTTCATGGTCCCAGGTCCTCCTGCGTCCACCCCGGACCCACCTCCCCCACAGTGCGGCTGGGGCTCAAGCCTCCCAGCTCAGAGTGCCTGGGGCAGAAAGGCTCCTACCCAAGCAGCCCCTGCTCAGTCCTCTGGTGGCTCCAGACTCATTACCGACGGCAAACCCGTAAATGGAGCAGGAGGTGATGTAATTTTTACTCCCTTAGCAGCGAGGAGCTCCATAAAGGCCCGAGGGCTCTCAGTACGGATTATTTCCATCTTCGGTGACTGCCGTCGGAGGCGGTCTCTGCCCCTGGGTTTTTCGACACAGCCTGCTCAAAAGGCTCCCTACCCTCGGAGTTCCTGCTCTGCTGGGGCAGCCGGGATGGATTTGTACTCTTTTCCATGGAATTGCTCTGCTTATTTGGGTTTCAATCTCTGGCTCCAGCCCTTCATTAGATGAGCTATTTTGTTCCCATTTCCATCGAGGGGTGCTCTTTTTTTTTTTTTCTCCCCACGGTGGTATATTTTTAAAGAGAGAAAGTGAATGGAGCAAAAGAGAATTCCTGAGGACACGTTTCAGAATGCATTTAATCTATTTAATCTATTATTATCCAGAAAGAGGACTGGGATTCCCTGCCCCCACGGCAGGCTGGCAGGAAAAGAGGTGGTGGAGGAGGGGGACCCCCCAAATTTAAACTATACTAATATGGTTCATGCACCATGGTGGGTGGGAATTGTGAAGGGTGGGGGGTGCCATCCGTGGGGTTAACTCTTCCTGGGGCCTTTGCACAACCACGGACGGGAGTCTGGGAAGACTTAGGTGAGATGGGGAAGCCAAAGGACTTGGAGGTCTGGGACCATTATGCTCCTCAACCTTGCTTCCCTCATTCAAAATACGCCCCCCCAAACACACACACACACACACATACACACTGTGCTCCATTCAGTGTGTGAGCACACACCCCCTTCTCCCTAAACAGCTGCTGAGGCCTCTAACAACAAGAGCCCCTGGAAACTGTGTACCTGGGCCCATGGAGTAACGAAACGACCTGGGGCTGGAGTCCAGGTCGGTACACGTCAGCTTGAAATTCTGAATGTTTGTGCCAACTTTCAGATCCACTGGGATGGCCAAGAAATAAGAGTCTGGCATACAAACTGGCTTTTCATCATTTTCTTCAAGGATGTTCACAGTTACCTAGAACAGCAAGAAGGCAGCCATGATTACCTGCCAACGCTCACAGAGAACTTAGGGTACTTGTGGTGCCCTCCCCTGGCTCTCATGGAGCCTCCCCTGAGCTGGACGATGTGGTTATTCCCATTCTCCGGATGCGGAAGCTGAGGCTTAGGGAGATTAGGTAGTGGACCTCAGGGCGTCCCATTTGGTGAGGGGCACAGTTCAAGCAATTTGATCTCGGGTCAGTCCTATTCCAAGTCCAGGGCTATTAACCTCTATTCTGTGAGTGCGTGTGCTCTCGTGTACATCTTAAATATGCACACTCACTTACCACCCCACCCACAGGTATCTAAGAAACATGGGCTCATCCCTCCAGGATGCAGAGCTGTTTTTCCAGTAATCATGACGAATTTGCAGTGACTGCCTGTCGTCCCTTGTCCATTGCCCTTTCGAATTGGAAGTTCTGTCTTTAACTTCGGCATGTAGAACACTGGTTCTCCTGCTTTCACAGGCTTGCACCAGACCAGGTGAATTGGACTCCCAGGAGGGTAGGGCCCAGGCACGTTTATAAATGTTCTCCAGCTGATTCTAATATGCAGCCAGGGTTGAGAAGCACCGGGATAGAAGGAGTCGACCCAGCTAAGCCGGGATCTCATCTGCGACCTGGGCTATGAGCACCGCATGAAGCCGGTGGCCTAACCTGCCACGAGCAGGAGCTAGCCTCTTCTGTTTCCTCGTCGTCTTTTATGCCTGGTGAATTGGAATATGGACTGGGACGCCTGCCAGCACAGAATCCTTGAACGTCAGCCCTGAAAGGGACTTATGTGATCATCACCCTTTTTAAAGGCTTATGGATTTTGAGTCGTATTCATTCTACCTTTGAAATTTGGGGATTTCAGCTATTTCTGAGCCCAGGAATAAATTGAAATGTTCACTCCAGTTAGCTCCCAAAGTGGACTCCATTCATTTTTTCAAAAACCCAGCCGAACAAACATGACAATTATCGGCGACTTAGCATGTCGTTTGCTCAGCAACGCCAGGCCTCGCACATCATTAAAAACATGTCCCATTAATTCAAAGCCAGTCATCAGAGGAACTGGACTGTTCAGGTGATGGGTTAGCAGGTGACTGTCCATTTAAGAGAGAGCAAAATTGGGACACAAAGATAAGCCTTGCTCAGACCCCCTTGGAAAATGGGGATCAAAGTTGAGAAATGAACTCCATCTCCTGACTGAACAGTCGTTCTCTGGATCACACGGGGCTGCCTGCCGCTAGCCAAGAGTTCATTTTGCCTCATGTTCCTTCACTTTACTAATGGGAAAGACCAAGAAATAGTTTTGTCCTTGCGGCCATCATATTACCTCCAGGTAATTTTAACCATGGACAGCACAGACTATTAAAGAGAGTTACTCTCTTTAATACTAAAAGAGTATTACTCAAAGAGTTTACTCAAAGAGTGGCCTTGGACCAGCTGCATCAGTGGAAGTGTGGAAATGTATTAGAAATGCAGATTCCAAGGCCCACTGAGACCCGCTGACTCAGCATCTACATTTAAGAAGATACGCAACACCACGGTTGAGAAGCAGCCCCGCCCTGGGTCAAGCCACATCCTGTGAAGGTCTACTCCACCTGATGTGATGTGGGGAGGGGTAGGAACACGGCAGGACTATTAGCAATAGAACCACACCACCCTTCTGGAAGCATGCATCTCACCACCAGCCCACTGCCAGAGCGAAGAGAGATCTAAAGGGTAATGGGAGGAAGCCGGCCGCGCAGTGGTCGGTCATCAATCTTGGCATGCCTCCCAGCCACTCACAAACGTGGACCTATGGATGCACTCTTTGGTTCCTAGCCCTGCTAGTTGTGTCCAAGTGTGGCATCCTGGACACCACGAGTCACTTCCCCTTACATCTGCGGGATGTGCCCTGTCAAGATTCCTTATCACTACAGCTGCACGTGGAAGGTGCCAGAAGGATCCTAAGTCAATGGGTCAGGCTGGTGTGAACACACCCACGGCACCACTCACAGTGACTGAGCTGCTGTCCTCGCCGTTGGTGGCCTGGATTCTGAGAATATAGATGGGGGTCGTTTCGTAGTCTGCTCTTGTCACCAGCTGGAGTTCTCCCGTCTGGGGGTTGATCCAAAATATGTTTGGGTACTGGAGGCTGGCTCCTCCCATGGAGATGGAATACACGACCCTGCTCTGGGGGAAGTCTTGATCGGTGGCGCGCACTAGTCCAACCCGGGTTCGAGCTGGAAGAATAAAGAACCTAAGATTAGTCCCGCTTGGGCGAGGGGGAGGGGAAACGATAGGAGCCCACACTCCCACGGCCACGGGCAGACAGAATTTTGGAGGTCTCTCTCCTGTTCAAATGCTGTATACGTCTTCAATTCTATTAAAACCAAATTATGCTAATGAATACACACCAGGTATTTGCCCTATGAGCCAAGCCTTTATACAGACTCCAAGCAAGCCAGTTATCATGTGATCATAAGCAACACCGCAGAGAACATCTCACACCTGCTCTGGTGACAGCAGTGTCGTCTAATGCCGCGCTGTCTCTTTCAAATGATCTGTAGTGAGTGTGACTCACCCTCAGAACAAGATGACAAAGAAAGTTTTTAAAAGGGTTTAGCAGCGATGACTACAGACTTTTAGAGGCTGCTCCATTTTGCTTATTTGACAATGTATGTTGGTGGGGCTGCAGGAGTTCTGGCTGGCCGCTTCTGTAGATCTTTCTCGTACATTGCACTCCTTGAGGGCAGAAACCTCTTATTTAACTGTATAGCCCCAGTGCTAAGTGCTCGACCCCAAGTAGGTGATCGATAATCATGATATGATCTGTGAAGCGTGAGAACCCAATGACTGCTGCGTCTGGTAGCCACTGGATAAGGTATAAAGAATTAAAAGCATTCTCATCAGAGACTTTTTGCACTTTGTTTAAAACTTAACTCCAGGAAATGGAGACCATCCTCGAGACAGATAATAATATGGAGAAGAGATCACTGTAGAGGGAGTGTTTGGGTTGGTTGGCTGAACAGAGAGAAAGAGGAAGTATCCATGAGTAAAGGATCAAAAGCAGGGCTGAAGTGGGATTTTACTGGAGGTAACGGTCCCCCTTTGAAGTCAGGGGAGATGGGGACTCACGGAAGCTGGAAGAGAGGAAGGACCTTCAGAAACCGAGATGTCGACAGAGGGCACGAAAGAGGCCTCCGGGGATTCCCGTTATGGGCGAGAATCTTTATGTTGTTTTAAATGAAGGAAATCTACAAACGGGAAATCTGTTCTCTATTTTTACATTTCAATTCTCTGCTTGAGCAGGATAAAAATCACAGTGGAGACCGAGGGAGAACTTAGATCACAAAAAGGGAAGATGAGAGGAATCAGGCACGCAGACAAGGAAGCAATCAGGGATTCAGAGAAACACGGCTTAAACAATAGTTTTCAAAATCTGGGTTTCATCTGAAGAGCTCCTCAGCGGTGAGGACAATTTAAAAAGAAACAAGAGATGCAATAAACACGAATGAGCTGTGACTTGCCCTACGCAAGCGCACTCAGGGCCCCTGAGCTGAAGGCAGTTTCCACTCCATGGAAGGCGTGTGTGGATGACGGCCGTGGAGAGCACTGCCCTCGGTGTCCTGTCGCCTCCTTACCTGGCCTTAATTCTGACACCTCAAATACATAGGACGGCCTGTCAAAGGCAAGAGGAAACTCGTCTTCGGGCTTTGTGAAGATATAAATGTAGATGTTGTCTGAAAGCAGACACACGAAAAAAATTAAATTACAACACACATTTATTTATTCACCATTTTTAAAAAACCTTCTGTGTCCCAGGCTCCGTGCAAAACGGAGGGAATACAAGGTGAAGAAGACCCATGGGTCCTGCCTTCACGATGCTTAGAGTAGTTGGCACCTTTGGCTGAACATGGGTGCAGGTCACCGCGGACACCGGAGGAAGGGCAAGAAGCTGGCTCATAGGGATGTTTAGGGTTACACACGTGGGCCAGCGTTGAGCGGGGGTACAGGGGCGCGGGGTGGTTCTGGGCATGCGCAAGGATACCGAGGTCGAGAACTGCAGGACTGTCTCAGGGAAATTGCGGTTTGGGAAAAGGGGAGCTCAGAGATGGGCAACCAGAGCTGAAGCCAGAGAGTTAGGCAGGGGCCAGAGATGAGAGCCCTTGTGTGCCAAGCCAGAGTTTGGACTTGAACTTGATAGCTGCAGGGAGACATTCGGAGGGCTTCCAGAGAAGAAGTAATATAATGGTATTTGCATTTCCCGAAAATCACTGTCAGAACGTGGAGGGTGCCCTGGAAAGGGGCAAGACAAAAGCCGGACGGAAAGATCCTTAAAAGGCTCTTAGTGTTGTAATTGAGCCAAGAAAGGGAGGTTCTGCGTTCGAGCACTACTAGGGGAGGGGGGCGGGGCAGGAGGGGCAGCAGATCCTTGCGATTTTAGGTGACCCCGAAGAAAGGACCCAGAGACAGATCCAAAGTGTCTGGCAAAGGACAGGAGGAGGTGGGACTGATTCCCAAGTGTTCGGGTTTTTGAAGTCTGCCTTTGAACACAAATGCCTAGCCCACTACTGAGTGCTGCTTGACACAGTTTAGCTGTTGCTACTCAAAGATGCTTCATGAAATAAATCAAAACGATACTTGCTTTTATAGTAAGGAAGGGCAACGTCCTGCACCTGGACTATCACGGTGTACTTATTGCCAGCTGCTAGATTACTTGAATTTTCATAATCTAGGTCACCAACCAACTAGATTAAAACAGAGATAGCATATTACACAGAATAAACAATCCTTTTAATTAACTGACAGAGATACTTACATGGACTGTTAGTGGATATGTAAATTGCAAAACCTTTCCTATGATGCATTTTGCCTGTAAGAGGAGTTTTAACAAGTTACATCCATACCTTTCCCCACTGTTAGAGAATTTATTCAAAAGAATTTACCAGGAGAGAGAATCTATATTTAAAGATGTTCATCAGGCACTATTGCCTAACAGCACAGGCTCACCACTTCAGGTTAGTTGAAGAGAAGCACGATATAGAATCCTATAGGCAGGGATATTTCCGTCCCTTAAAATATTTATGCATATGTGTATGGAATATACATAAAAATCTACGCATAGGGAAGAGGACAAGAGGGTAACATATCAAAATGTTAATAATGGTTAACATTGAATGGTAATGTTGTTCTGTGTTTTCTACATTCTGCAGTGAAGATGTATTAATTTCCTAAACTGAAAAAATAGAAATTATTTTTTAGTTGACATGTGTGCATAAAATTGTTAAGTCTTTCTTGGGGATGGAAGAAGGGCTTGAGATGGGAGGTGTGGAGAGAATGCCTAGTGGGTTGCTTGTTCTCCCTGAGGCTCTCTATCCCTGATGCAAAGACCTCCCCCCACCTCCCAGACGGATCTTCCCCTCCACTTCCCTCTCCTCCTTCCCCAACAGCCTCCAGCAGGAACCCTGTAGGTAAGGGTCTTGCACAACTCACTAGGACCTGCCTTTCAGGCCCCTCCGTCTTCCAATTCTGCTCTTGTGCCCCTGTGGAGATGCTGCGGAGGGGGGCATCTACACACCCCTACTCCCTCAGGTCCCACAGTCAAGGCACTGGATTTTCTCTCCCCTCACACCCCTCTGGGCCAGAGATGAGCACTCAAATAAACCAAAGGGCTGGAGCCCAGAGTGCTAACGTGACCGTGACCGCGAGGGGCACACGGAACAGGCATGCCAGCTGCAATCTTTGCAGGAAAGCATCCAGTCCTTAGCACCCCAGGCACAACTATGCATAACAAATGATTCCTGGAACTTGGGTAAAATAAAGAGCGAATGGGGAAAACAGAGTCACTATTAAGTTTGTCAATTAAAGTCGCTTTGAGAGGGAGTTACCTTGGAAATTTCCCTCTACGGGGCAGCAAAAGCGCTATGCATGTTACACCAGCCTCCCCGATGCCCTTTCAATGATGCAATGACCATTCACTGACCACGATTTTCCCAGAGCCAGCTGGATCCTGTGAAAATCTGCCGCTGCTCCCCACTCCAGATGGCGTGGTGAAGTTGAATTGGTTGTTTGGTGCTTTGCTATCATCATCAAAGCAGAACTTGTTCAGGTCCAGAAGCAACGTCCCCTTGGCTGCTCTTTCAGGCACCATAATGCTGGCGAAAAGACACGATTCAATATTTTCCCCAACAAATGGTGATTGAGTGTTCCTCCTGACATAGGCCCTAGGCTAGACGCCTCTGCTTTTAATTGCAGTTCAAAGCTAGTCCACGGTGACGGCAGTCATCACCTAATGGGTTCCCTGTTTTGCCCTTGCCTCCTTTCAGACTCTTCTTAACACAGCAGCCAGAAGGATCCTGTTAAAACGTTGTCAGGTCACGCCACTCCTCTGCTCCTAATCCCAAATGGTTGCTACTTCACTCCAAGTCCTCGCTTTGATCTAGATGCTCTTCAGGATGTGCATGCCCTGCCTCGCCTCGCCTGTCTGTACTCCTCGCTCGCTACAATGCTCCCTATTGGCTCCCGCCACCGGGCTTGCAGGTGCTTCTAGAACTCTTCCCCGGTGCTCCCGGAAGTCTGGGCTCAGGCCATCCTGCTAGCTGCAAGGCTCTTCCCGCAAACGCCCACCTGGCTTGCTCAACCACTTTCTTGAGTCTCAATCAATATTGCCTTCTGAGGCAGCCAGGCTGGGGCCCCTCTCTCAAATGTCAGCCGCTCCTGCCCCTTGCTCCCTCTCCGCCTCCCCCCGTTTATTTTAAATTCCTAGCATGTATCCTTTTCCCATCTACTACACAGTTACTCATTTATCCCATTTGTCTCCTGCGTCCCCCCTGGAATGTAAGCTCCAGGAGGACAGAAATCTGTCTGCTCTCTTCTTAGCATGTTCGCTAATGTCCGTCGATTGAGTGAATGGTGACTTAGGAGACTAGCAGAGCCGTGAAGAAGGATAAAAGAGAAACAGAAAACCTGCCCTGCCTGCCAGGGGTTTAGGACCTGGTTAGGGAAAATTGCCGGGTGCCTACCCACCTCACCTCCCATGCTTTGCAACTCAGGATTTCTGCCCCTTGTGTTTTAATGGCTTTGACATCATAAAAGGGCCCCCAAACACATTATTGTCATTCACCCAAGAGAGCTTCATTAAGGGTGGAATTTGGGGGTCCCAACCTCAGCTGACTCCAGTAGCACAAATGAGGAAATTTGCCCGCACCCCAGAACCATCTGATCCAGCCATGCTTGCGGGGGCTGTGGGTGGGGGGGGAGGCAGTGGGGCAAGGAAGTGTGATTAATCCCCCCAGGCTTCCGTTCATTCAGGGACTTGACTGTGCCCCCAAGTTTTAGGTTTCCCATCTGTAATCTAGACATAAATCATGTCACCTTTGCTTCTTAACAAACCAGCCTAAAATGTAGTGGCTTAAAACGGGGCACTTGTTATTTCTTGCAGTACTGAGGACTATCCTTGAGTTCTTTGGGTTCTAGTCTCACTTGCTTCTAGTCTCTGTTGTCTGGCCATTCAGTTGGGTTTGGCTGGTCTAGGACGGCTTTGGTCACATGTCTGGTGGCGGGTCGGCAGGAGGCGTCTGCTTCCTGCTGCCGATAACCCTCCATGAGATGGGTCCAGGCTCTTTGCATGGACGTCTCAGGTTCCCAAAAGTAGCAAAAGAAGGCAAGTCCCATGTACACACACCATTCGAGCCTGGGCTGCATCCAATCTGTGAATGTTCCAGCGGCCAAAGCAACTGACACGGTCAGGTCCAGATCCAAGGAGTAGAAAGAGAAACCCATCCCTTGATGGGAGGAACGTTGTGGCTGAGGAATTTGTGGCTGGTGTGTGGTTTGGTTTTTGCTGTCTACCTCAGTCAGTTATCTCTTATGAAAATGTATCGTGGCTGCCACGAGAATGTGTCCAGAAGACCCTCAAACAAGGAACGTAGCTGACCACAGACCCTAGGCTGCTGTGCTCTGAAATTCACGGCTTCATAGGCAGTGAGGCCACGTGCCTGCGACCAGGCGTCACAGATGCTAAGGCAGGCTCATTGCTGTCCGAGGACAGCTGACTCTGGCACTAGGACTCCTTAATGCCTAGCCGAACCTTCTAGAGCCTACACAGCACACTAGAACATTTCTGCCCACCCTCCTTCCCACTTCCCTACGCTGAGGCCAGTCTTATGTTGCGGTCTCATGACTCTCCCAGCCTTGTCTAGCTCTCCCCCATTTTCTTCCCAAGAAGTGCCTCCCTAATAAAACACAGTATTATTTATTATATCAGATGGTTTGGGGGATCCAGACCCTGGTTCCGACTCTGGAAGCCAGAGTGCTCCATCCTCCCAAGAATCCCACATCCTGCAGCCAGACGTTTCAGGAACTGCGCCTCTCGGAGCGGCCTAGCATGTTCTTCTCATTCTTTCCTCCCTGACGCTTGGTTATTTTCCCCCCAAATGCACGACTTGGAAAACCACTCCCCCTCATTCATCAAGGCCTGCCTCAAAGGCCGGCTGCCCTTGCTCCCAGCCATCTGACCACGTTCCCTCCCTGCGCACAGGTGACTGGCCCAGCCGCAGTCTGAGCCCGCTGACCTTCTCCGCCTCTGGCTCACAAACAGCTTGCCAAGCGCTTTCAGCCAAGCGCAGGGCAATTTACAACCAGAGCAGGGGCTGTCTCGGCGCCTTTGATGCCTCCATCAGGCCCTGGGCTCATTCATCACCAGCCTGGGAAAGCTGCAGGGTCCTCTGTGCTAGGGGCTGTCTCCGTCTCCAGACTGGCCTGAGTGCCTGCAGGACCCGTGTGACCCACGGGGGCAGGTGGGGGCCGGGCACGCAGCCACCTGCCTCCAACCCACTGGGTGTGGGCCCCCTCCTGCTCTCATCCACCTGCTCTCCCAAACTCACCAGCAGGGACCATGCCAAAAGCCCTGGAGAAGGAATAAATATTCAGGGATGTGTTGTCAGAGCTGCTGTCAGTCCTCTTCTGTTTGGTTTGGACATACCTGTGGGCTCCGGCATGTGGAAATGGGGAAGGTGGTAAGGATCGGGGGCAGGTGATGCCAGGTCAGGTTTTCCAGCCAGTGGAGTTTGCAAATGAGGCTGGGTTTCTGGAATAAAGATTTCCACCTCCCGAGGCTGCAGAGGAAGGAGCCCCTGCAGAGGATCTGCCCCTCCTCAGATCCTGGTTTTCACAGGATGTAAGTTGGAAAAGCCCAGAAGTGGGTCTTGAACACTGTTCAACACCTTCACTGATCAGTGCAATTAGTCTAGTTTCTGCCTGGCATTGACCTTCAGGGCTAATTTGGAGAGATTATCAAGAGCCGGACTCTGCAAGGTGTGGCCTGCACAGCCTCAGATCATCAGACTGTAGTTTTCCCAACCAATATGGAATGCGGTCTACAAGCCACACATCAGGGGACCACACCGGAAGTGCACCAGGCGGGGAGGAAATGGACAAGGAAGCTTGGAGACAGCATGGTCCTCACCAGTCACTGCTTCCCAGAGTTCTTACCCCTCAACCCATGCCCTCCACCTCTCAGGGTAGGGGAACGAGGAAGAGCAGAAGGGCCTAGAAAGGCAGAGCACGAGGACAGGAAATGCCCCCAGGCCCTAGAACCACCCAAGAATGCTAGGTTTAGATTTTCAAAGAAAGTAGAAGTGGGACTCTGCACAGCATCTCGACTCCATCCCCAGGGCTCAGGCTCGGTTAACAGAGGTGGGTTCCATTTATGGGAGAATAGTGTAGAAGTCAGTCTGAACTAACCCGCCGCGACGAGCCCCACCCACCAAACAGACTCTGAGGTTAGGGTTGGAATAGAAACCTATCGCATGGTCAAGGCTCTTCCTGACTTGATCAGGGCCACAGCGGGAAGCAGATGACAATTTAGGATGATTCTAGGAAGAGCTTTGGTAAAGGGCTATTACAAAGGTGGACACAGGGTATTTATGGAAATCCCCAGGGATGGTGCAGTATCTCAGAGCTCCTGAGGGCCGAGTTCCCTTACCTCCTCCTGGCCCAGAGGAGCCCCAGGAGGGAGCAGTTCCTGAAGCCAGAGGAGAGACTGCTGTGTGCAATCTGGGAACTTCAGGAGGTGGAGGGACTTCGCCAGCTGACAGGCAGGGAGCCAGGGGGGTAAATACCCTGACTTTACACTCCCCTTTGCTCTAGGGCTTCCCAATGGCCAAGCAGAAGCTACAGGGCAAGGGAGCCAATTCATGTCTGTGTAGGTCGTTTCCATACTCCTGGGGCACAGAGCAGGGTGGGGAAGTCTGGAAGCTGCATCTGAAGGGGGCAAATAGGGTCTGTCTAAACCTGGATTTAACTGTTTCGCTGCCAGACTCCAGGCCACACTGATTTTTAGCATCGTACAGGGCTCGCCCATTGAGAAAACAGGGAGACAATCTTAAGCGTAATAAAGGAATTCATAGTTCTATTGCCAACCCTCAACAATCTTTGTCCTTTGCCCTACGGTCCTTTGCATGGCCACACTGTGGATTAGATCTGTGTCCAAAGTCTCCTGGAGCTTAAAAAGTGACCTTGCAGGACCTATCAAATGTCACACCTCAGAGGAAGACTCTCCATGGGGACATCTTAAAGGGGGACATGCTCTGGTCTTGAGCCTTGTTTCAGACGCAGGGAACGCTCCAGCCAGCATCACGGTGGTGTGCCCTCCCACCCCCATGAGGAGCCACCTTCGTGGTCCTGAGAAGCTGGAGACTAGCAAGTAGGAAGCCACAGAGACGAAGCCAACCCCGGGAGCGACTCGGGTGACATTTAGACAAAAGAGCTAGTAGAGAGACAGTGCTGTTTTCCAAAAGGCATATTAACACAGAATCACAAGGGACTTTATTTTTAAATAACACCCAAGAGGTGTGACACGAAGCATAGGTCAAAATGTACAAAAGGACTTGTTTCTGTATTTTTCCCCCTTTCCGTTGCCTTTGGTTTACCAGAATTTAAGTTGTGTAAGGTGAATTCGAGGCTTTGTTTTGTTTTAAGTAAATAATGGTGTGATTTATTCCTATTGCTGGCGATGTGTTTCTCGGGAAGCTCCTAGCTACTAATCCTAAGTCTCAGGTCTCTGTTATAACCGCTAACTAACAGCACCGTCTGGCCACCGGCGGCAATAAAAAAAGAAAAGGCACAGCCCAGGGAGTCTCTGTGGTACATTTCGCCAACAAAGATGAACATGCTGTAGGAGGGAGAAAAAAAAATATATATATACATATATATGTATATATTTTGCCAGAGTACGAAGGTGCAGAAGGGAAACAAGGGGAAAAAAAGAAAATGAAGAGAGGGAAGAGAAAAGGATCAAGAAAGGAAAACCGTCTCTGAAATCGGACACCTCAGGTGGGCTTCTGTTGTTGAGACATGTTCCAGATGCCCCTGATTCTTCGGTTCCTGCCAGAGAAGCCGAGGAGTTGGGGCCCCACGGAGCGCCGGGGTGGGGGAGGGGCGGCGCCCAGCCCGTGAGTATACCTGAAGGAGGTCTTGGAGCACGTGGCCGGGTTGTCATTAATGTCCTCCACGATGAAGGTTATCTGCATGCGATTCTCTTGACCTCCCGAGGGTCTGTCCTTCACCAGAACTTCCAGGGAAATGGAGGGATTTTGTCTTAATTCACCTGCGTCTCGGTCTAGCCTCTGGGCCACGTGGATCGTACCGGTCACTGAGAAGGCAAAGGTGAGAACACGACTCTTTAGAGACTTGGAGACAATTGGAAAGATCGTTCTGGCTTGCAGGGAAAATACCCTCTCTACAAACACATTTTTAAAAACTCAGGTAACTTCCTGTATTGGACATCGATTGGGATGCCTGGCCTGACCCTTCTAGAACCTGTTGCCTCAAACTTCAGGGTTGGCCTTGCCCGCTATAGGACTGGCAGACAGCCGACTCCAGCTCGACCGACTGCACTCTCTCACTGGAGAACAGGTCACCGAGACCCACCAGGCAGGTTGACAGTGGAGCTATGGATTGGGGGCCAGAACTCTTGCCACTGTGGTGGGCAGGGCAGCGCCAGTCGCCACCCTTGCAGTGACCCACACACTTGTTCTCATGGGATCGCCAGGATCCTGTTGGTAGGTCTCCCCTATCTGTTTTTTCTCCTCTCATGCCTGGTTTGGCTTGCCTTCATTTTTGTTACTTGCAACCAGAGTCTTAATAAAGATGCCCCCCCCAAAACCACTGCATTTCTTAAAAGTTGCATTTGCAGTACTAGCGTGAACAGAATTCTAAACCATGGTTGTCCATGCTTACACCATTAGCTGAGTGAGGTCTTTAATGACAGGACTAGACAGTGCTCAGAGATAGAGCACGATTATTGCCTAAGCCTGCCTCTCCTGGGACCAGGCATCCTTCACCGTAAAGCCGATGGGGCAAATAACACATCGTCTTTCTGGGACTGTCCAATGTTTGCCTCCACAAAGTCATTATGTAAAGGGAAGTCCTTTGGAAGAATGTGATAGGAACTTACGAGGTGGTATTGCCTAGGAGTGGTCTCTTGGGTCACAATCTTTGGTTTGAATCTGCTTCATACCCTGAAGACAAGTCATTGTCTTGGACAAGTCATTTACCCACCCAAGTCTCTCTCTTAGCCTTAGTTCCCTCATCTATAAAGTGTGGGTTACAGTATTTCATTGGGTTGCTGTGCTGAGTTGAATACTTACAATGGAATATTTGTGGGTAACTTAAGATAGTACCTAGCATATGGGAAGACCCCAATAGAAGATGGCTGTCCTAGGAGGGAGAGCTCTCCTCTGCACTGACATACTTAGTTGGGAAGATAACTCCCAGCAGCCTGGCAGATTGCTCTAGAATGACACGGTCCAGTCTGGTAACCACTAGCCCCACGTTTCAGCGCTTGAGATGTAGCTAGTCCAAACGGAGATGTGTGGTCACTATAAAATACACAATGAACTTACAGACTCGGTACAGTAAGTGATAATGTCAAATACGTCATTAATAACTTTATGATATTTGTTACACTTCATGACAATATTTTGGTTATGTTGGGATAACTCAGCTGCCTTATTGAAGATAATTTCACCTGTTTCTTTTTGCTTTTTAAAAATGCAGCTACTGGACTTTAAACTTACACACATGGCTTCTGTCCTGTTTATTTGTGGACAGTGTCAGTCAGCATCTTCTTTTCAGGAGACTCCCAGGTACCCTTAGGGTAGTGAACTCACACATTCTTACACCTGCTTCGAAGGTGAAGGAGGGACATAGCTGGTCACCTTGGGACCCTGTTCAGTTTCCCCGATCCCTATCCCAGCTGCTTTAATGCATCCGTTACCCTGATGTGTTACGATACTCTCAACAGAAGGGCATGCCCCAGAACAGAAGACAGATGAAATATTTGTGAAAGAATCGAAATGGCTGAATGAAAGGGTGCACAGGAAGGTGAGTGTGTGTGTGTGTGTGTGTGTGTAACTTACACTGGTTGATCACAAAATAGCGGCTAGCAGTCGTGATGCTGTAGAGCAGGAAGCTGGTGGAACCCTTATCGTCGGGGTCCTCCGCGGTGACACTGGCCACAATGGTGCCTGAAGCCAGCTCCTCGGCAATCGTGTACACTCGCGCCAGGCTGAGCAGAAATATAGCAGACACAGCTCATTTTCAGGGGCATGGAGGGTGGAGTCTGCGGGGTGGGTATTTTGGTTTGCGCTAAATATAGCCCCGAGCTTCTGAAGCTGCATCCGCAGGCTCGGAGAAAGCAGTCACCGCTGAAAGGAGGGGGGACAGGCTTTTGCGTTTCCAAAGATCATGTCCCCGCGGCTGCCACCATGGACAGTGGCCTCGACCTCTGACGCCGCACATGCCTGACACCGATTCACAATGGCCTGGGCGTTAACGTCTTTTATAATCGGGATGCTTGGCCGATCCGGCCACCTTCTCTCCCTCTCCGACTCTTGTGCAAAAGCTCCCTGAGTGATTTTAAAAATCCATCTGGACACAGGTTCCTGGCTCATCCCCTGGCTGCCACCAGAAGCGATGGTCAATAAACGATAAGTATTTTTATTTCTTCTCTGTCTTCTTCATTTTGTTCTGTCTTGCCTGCAGAAGCAGAGTTGATGCACAGAACCTGCACACCTCCCTGAGTTCCATTTCTCCTAAGGTCAGCTCTCTGAACAGAGACGCCAAGGTCACTGCCCTCCGACGGTGACTTCTTACAAGATAACCCCAAATGGCCAACTTACCCATCTTCCTCAGGCCTCCACTGCTTTGGGGACAGGATGATAGTGAGGCAGATAGGTTCCAAGTTTTAACAACACGACTTGGGTAAATTGAGTAATTTTGAAGGCACCAAGGGAGGCTTATTGTTTAGAATAATCCTGCAGGAAATCCTTCTGCTGAGGGAAAGTCATTTCAGTGGGACAAATCATCACCCCCCGATTTACCAGTTTCCTAAGTTTGGATTTTCCCTTCCTTAAGAGGGAAACGTTATATCTCAGGTCTAAATGACTGCATTCGTTTGGTGAGATCAGGATTTTTCTGCAGTTCTGTCTCATCCTCCTCGTAGGGTAGATGGGACCAAAGGGAAGAGAAAGGAGAGGGAGAGGGAATGTCCAACTAATGTCAGATCGAGGCAGGCCGAGAGAGGCTGCGACCAGGCCCTCCCTCACCGGGGTTCCTGTCTGGGTTCTGGGTCTTGAGGTGACCCATTCTTGGGATGACCTCCTGTCGGTGCACTCCAGTGTGGGGGACAGTAATCTTGTTCAGGCCAAGAGGTCACCCAGTGCCTCCCTGACACTCCCCATTGATCCACGTGCCTGATGCCTTTCTCGGTGAATCTGGGCTGCAGCCCATCATGGGGGAGGAGTAAACAAAGGGGAGTGGGACCAAGGAGGCAGGGGTGGCAGGAGCCAAACCCAGAGCGGGAGGAGAGAGGGAGGTTGCCTCAGCTCGCAGAGCTGTACTGAGACCTTGTGTTCCTGATGTGAGAGCCTCTGTTCCTAACGCATTCTATCTTTTCTTTGGTTACTTTGAGTGGCTTCTGTTAACTTCAAACAAAGAGACTGCTACGGCTCCTGCGCACCTTCACCCTTTGGCCCCGCTGCTCCCAGTGTGGTCCCCGCATGTCTCACAGGTCCCCCTGGAGATTCTGGATCTGAACGCAGAACTCAGGCCAGCTCCGGGCTGCAGAATCGAGAGCTGCGTTTTCCCAAGACGACCAAGGGACTTGTCTGCACTTCAAAGTTTGAGAAGAGCTCTTTCTTACAAGGAATCACCAGAGGTGACAACCCCAGACACCTAGGCTGTCCTAGGACAGAGGACACCTTGGGAGGAGACTCCCCTTCTTCCAAGACAGTGGTTCTCAGTTGGGAGTGGCTGTGCTGTTTGTCACAAGTGGAGGCAGGGGCTGCTACTGGCCTCCAGGGGGAGAGCCCAGGGGTGCAGCTACGCGCCATACAGTGTGTGGTCAGCACACACCTTCCACCGCGGGGAATGTCCACAGAGCCGGTGCTTAGGGCACGCCATTCTGCAGGCTCCTCTGCCCCCCACCTGACACTCCAGGAAATCAGCTCCCGTGAAGGGGACTGGTGAGGCTATCTCATAGGTACACCATTCTCTCCTTGGCTCACCTGATAGTTAGCCTGGCAGAAGGCAAAAAATCTTTGGTTTATTTGGTCTGGGGACCCAAGACCCAAGTGTATATAAAGGGGGGACCCTCAGCCCACAGTTAAGACCTATACAGCCAGGGGCCCTGTGGTCAGCCAACTGGGTCAAGCTCTGATACCGTTATATACCCATCCCGCCACCTTCTTCCTACTGCCCATCCCCCCATAACACCGGGCTACCAGGGCCCAGGGGAGGGGGAGACAAGGGCCAGTGGCCACACTCACGAGGAACGGTATGAATCCCAGAGGATGGCTTCAGTGTTATGAATGCATATGCGGTAGGTGCATAAAAGTGTGTGTGCACTGCGAGGCACCAGGTTAAAAACGATGGCGGGGAGATACCGAAGAAACGGGCAGTGGGAGAGAGACTGCTGGAGTCTAAGGTGAAGTGCTCTAACAAAGCAGCAAGCACGGTGCTTGTTCGTAAAGGGCAAATGGAAGTCAAGTACTTATACAAAAAGGTGCTCGACTGTAATAATAGCAGGATCCCCGAGTACACAGAGGGAGGCCACAGGGCATTCAGGGGTTTGCCCCCACCCAGGGGTAAGACAGTGAGCTCTCCGCCACAGAAAGGGCGTTCTCTTTGGCTGTATTCAGTGCGGGGCTTTACCAGCTAGTAAAGATGGGAGGGTTGTTTCCACGTTCCGCAGCTCTGCATCACCCTCGAACTCGGTGTAGCTGAATCAGTCTGAGAGTTTAATCGTGTTAATTCTCAATTAAAGAACTCATGGCTCATCCTGGCACTGGTTTGGAAGGGGAAGAAGGATCATGGCTCAAGGGAACCAGGAAAGCCCTCCACGTCAGTACCTACTTTGAAACCAAGCAGACTCTTGCAAACCATGGATGGCTGAGGGACAAGGTCGACTTTGATGAGCCCGTGGGTGAAGTCAGGGCAGCCCCCCACCCTGCCCCAGGCCTTCCAGGGACAGGCTCTTACAGGCCCATCCCTGCCAACACCCACGGGTCGCTGTTTGACCTAAAGCTGGATGACTTGTTACGAAACGGTTAAACAGTCACACAGACCTTTTGTCTGGCATGGAGCCTAACAGGATCATTTCTCAAACGAAAAAGGAGAACCAAAGTTCCAGACCCATCTCTGGGGGCCCCAGCAACCAGCCAAAGCCACATTCTCTTTCTTTTGGAAGATGTCATCCAAACCAGACAGTCTGCCCCTTGGGAGAACTTACTTCTCCTTTTGCAACCCTGTTAGCCTGCCTCCCCATGTCACAGATTGGAACGGTGTGGGGGGGGGGTGCGACACAGCAGACCGCATGGCCGTCGCCTGCCCCTGGGGGTTACCGATGAGTCGGCATTGCTGTGCCGGTGAGTACTAGAGTCTGCATCCAGGCGGGGATGTCACAGCTCGTTATGAACCGCAAGAGCTGGGCTCCCGGAGGAACCTCTCCACAGAAACGGATCGCGTCACCCTTCTGAGCTTCGTGGGGCCACGGGCGTCGCTAGAAAGCCTGACGCGGGTGTGTCTGCTGCTCTTCCCTCCACGTGGACCCACGGCCCCTGGGCTGCAGACTCCTCGCATCCAGAAGGCTCACAACTGTGCTGTGTTTTGCCAAACGGGACCAGCTTATCCGGTGCATAGGGCGGCCTTATACCTGCAGGTCGCAGAAGACTTTTGCAAACATTCTATGTAGTTCTGGGGCCCGGGGCCTTTCTGTTGTTGGAGTCTCCCCAACTTTCCGTATTTTACTCATAGCCACGAGAGCGGTTACTATCACTCACCAGGCTGGTGATTCCACCGTTCCCTCGGGCTGGTTCCCGAGCCCAGCTCAGCAACAGGGATGGGGTGAGTCTGGCAAGCAGTAGGCCGGGTGGTTTGCAAGTCATTTTCCAGCTCAGAATCCCATCTTCCCTCTGGGATCCCAATCTATAACAGGCTTGGCTGTCCCCTTTGGGCCTGGGCTGGGGGCCAGGACACCCCCAGATCTCTTCTGGACCCACAACGGCAGGAATAAATCTAGAACACCCCACCGTGGGCAAGACTCTTAGGCACCCTTGTCAGAGACCTCTCTTCAGTCAGAGAGGACACCATTCTGAGAGTGGGCTTTATAGACCCTTGACTGATGGCGCGTGCCCTTGAACTTGACTATTATTCATGCTGGACACTCTAGTAAATGGTACCTGCCTTGGGGTGCCTGGGTGGCTCAGTGGGTTAAAGCCTCTGCCTTCGGCTCAGGTCACAATCCCAGGGTCCTGGGATCGAGCCCCGCATCGGGATCTGTGCTCAGCGGGGAGCCTGCTTCCTCCTCTCTCTGCCTGCCTCTCTGCCTGCTTGTGATCTCTCTGTCAAATAAATAAATAAAATCTTTAAAAAAAAAAAATAGTACCTGCCTTATCGTTACCTCCTACACAGGTCCAGCGGCCAGCCCCGCAGCAGGTGCGTTGTGTCCAGCCCCTCTTCCCACTCCCCACCATACCCACAACCCCATGGTGCAGAGGAAAGGCGAGCAAAGCTGGCAGGGGGATGTCCGGAGGTCAGAGAAAAGACACTGAAGATCTCAGGCCTCTTGTCTCTCCTCCGGGCCAGGGCAAAGGGCATCCCTCTGGCGTATATTAAATGCGTCTGAGAAAGCCGGGCCACCCAGAAGGGATGGCGGCTGTGGCCCATGGAGCCCCACACACCCTCAAGCCTACCTGGTGAAGCGCGGGACTTCATCGTTGACATTCACAATGTTCACCTGGAGCATTGTGGAGGCTTCGAGCCCTTGGCTATCTCTCACTCTCGCAAGCAGAAGGAAACTGTCAGGGAAACCCCCTGGAGTGAGGGACTCAGGCTTTGCTGACAGTACCTCAAAGTGGAGTGGGGGGGGAGATGGACTGGGATGAGGGGGGAAGGTTGGTCTGCCCTATTCTGCCCACCGTCCTCCAGATGCACATACAGAGTCAGAACTGCTAGGTTAACACTTCCCCTTCCTTGTCTCTACAAACCCACCCCGCCCTTCTTATTATGTGGAGATGAAGATTTGCAATGGGGAAGGAGGCCTTCCCTATAATGCCTTAGTTCCTCTTCCTTTTGGGGGTCTCCCTACCCTCTGAACTCAGCAGGAAGGCAGCAGAATCTGCTCGGGGCCTCCCTCGCTTCCCCACGCCTGCCCCTCGACCCTCAGACTTCAACCAAGGTCATTGGCAAAGGCTACCTCTTGTGTCCTGCTTCAAAGTCAAATTCTATTGTGGAGAAAAGGGTCCCATTAGCAGACATCCTGAAGTTCACTGAGGAGGCGATCAGGAAATACTAAAAAACAAAGAGAAGAAAGAATGTAACTGAATGTACCTCTTCTTCTTTCTCTGGGGAGACTATTTTGTTCCATTCCTGTTTTATATTCTTGGCCCATGGGACATCCTTGATGCTTCAGGATGAGGCCCAATGCACAGTTCTCAGATTCAGTGATCCTTGAAGCAAGAAAGTTCTGCATCTACTGGCCTGAGCCTCTGACCTGAGAAGCCACACTCTGAGGAGATGGTCCCTGGGTCCTGCTTCAGTGACAGCGAGCGTGAAGGCTCCCAGTCTAGGCACTCTGCTTCCGAGTCCAGTCTCCTGTTCCCCGTCACTGTCTCTCACTTGTGCTTCTCAGGATAATGTCTGGGGTTGAGTCCAGGTCTTGGCTTTGACCAGCACTATTTAAACATGGCTACCATGTGTTAAGCAATAAGTCGATACTAACGTAAGTAAGACCTGGTCTCTACCCTTGGAAGAACTTATGATACAGGAGGGCGCAAAAATGTTCACAAGCATCATTCCCTGGCATGATGGCAGGGAAAAGTGAAGGGACAGGAGTGAGAGAGGAGAATACTTAGCAGGACCTCAAGTCCAAGTTGGAAGCTGGTTTGTAGCTATGAGGGCTGTTTCAGAGTCTGATCTCAGGTTTATGGCCACGGGTGAATTCTCTCCACCTCTTGGGGGTGTTGAGAGTATAGTCCTTTATGGCTTCCAGTGCCCAGCCCAGCTCCCATAATGACCACTGACTAGCCACACTTGCTCTGACAAAAATACAAGCTTATTTGCACAGCCCCCTGAGGGCAGCCCGTGGGAAGACCACCCCCGTGCTATCCATGCGTGTTCACCAAGATTGCTTTCTCACTGCGGTGATGACGTCAACGAGGCAGGTGAAGGACCTGGATCGGAAGAGCTGAGTCCGAGTTCTGGTCCTCACCACGGGATCTGGGACAGGTCCCTTCCTTGCCTGTCCTACAGGGACGATACCACCAACCGCTCCTCTATGTTATCACGAGGGTTCCATCAGAAGCCACACTGGAAAATGCAAAGCACCGCTTCTATGTTTATGGCCATTTATCCCAAAGGGCTTGAAGGTTTGAAGGTTTGATTATTTCCTACCAGGATGAGAGAGGATCTATCCTCCAGGCCTTAGATCTCTGGATCAGATAATCAGTGGAGTTTTTGCAATCAGAGGCACAGCCCCTGAAGTCTAGAATCAAAGGAAACGCCAGCCAAGTCTTCCAACCCAGCGATTTGCTCTGTTGTGCGTTCGCAGTTAGGCTCCCCATAGGAGAAGAGCGAACACACAGAAAAGAGATTAACGATCCCGTTTGGGGCCATTAGGAGGTTTTTAAACATTTTCCTAATTGTAATAAAACATGCTTTGTACACACAAAATAAGAAAGACAGAAAAATATAAAAAAGAAACTCAAGAGTAGTCACCTGTAAAATCTTACGATTTTCACGAATAGCCCTCCCTTCTTTTCTATGCAAATGTACACCCTCCAAAAAAATTTTGAGATGATGCTCTCGTCAAGATTACATTCTCTCGTTCTTTCCCTTTCCAGCTTGAGCCCTTCCCCATATTCTTAACTCTTCCTTTACAGCCCAGTTGGTTAATGATGGCACACATTCTACTGTAGGGCTTACTTTACTAGGTCATTCTTGCTGGTCTTTTAAGTGGTTCTTACCCATTTTTAAGGGGGAATGGGCAGCACCAAGGAACACCCTTCTTCCAGCCCCCCAAGTTGTATAAACAGCTTGGCAGTGCTCAAAGGTATGACGTTTAAATCCCAAGACACCCCTCCCTCCACTGTCTCTCCAGCTCACAGCCAGGGCAGCAGCTGCCTGTACACAGAGCCGTTCTGTGCCTTTGAGCTGAGCCTTCCCTGCAGAGAATCCTCCCATATCCATAGATCAGAGGAGCAAGCTGGATGTGATGGCAAGGTTTATAGACCCAGGGGAGCATTCACTCTATACACCTGGACCGGGATGCCTTTCCAGAGTGTCTAATGCTCAGGAGATAGGTCCCCTATCTATCTCTCCCCTATGTATCCCCTAAGAGAGAGTTCTGCTCAGTCTCAAACAGAAGAAAATCTCAGGATACAAAGGTGACAGACAGACCCTGCTCTCCAAAAACTGATGGGCAACCGATGGAACATACAAGGAAAAAGTGGGAGACGTGCTCAGAGGGAGACAAACATAGGATATGATGGAAACAGAGAAGAGGAACTTAGCCCCGTCTAGAATTCACTGTCTAGAAGAGTCACGAATGGGGGTGGTTGAGTCAAGGGCAGGGTCTCTAGAGCCAGACTGCTCAGTCTGAATCCCGGTTCTACTACTTTGCAGCTGTGAGAGCTTGTGCAACAAAGACTAATAATAAAAGAGCATGTTGAAGGGGTTATCACATAAAGTTCTAAAACAGTGCCTGGCACGTGGTAATCCCTCAATTAACTGACCACTGTCAGTTAGAGTGTAAGATCCATGAGGGAAAGGGCTTCGTTTTATTCGTTACTACATCTCTAATGCCTAACATATAAAAGATGCTCAATAAATATTTTCCTCAATCAATACCTATTTGTGAAATGTTAAATACCGGGCTTTTCTTCTTGCCTATGTCCCACCGGAGACCAGCATTCCCACCCTAAAGAATCTTAAAAAAAACAAAAAGGCAACAACAAAGAAAATCTTGCTGAATTTAAAAAAAAAATCTGTTTTACTTCGGTACGGCGAGGCTTGATTATGAAATCTCCCCCAGCTAGGTCTGAGCAAACAAGAAAAACTGAATAGCAGCAGGCAGAAAGGGTGGGCGACTGTAGAATCAGGAACGTGGGGGGATTTCTTTTTCTTTTTGATTAAGAGGCTGATTTCCTGGAATCCTGATTTTTTTTTTCTTTTAACACCAGGCTAATTTCCTTATCCCTGAACCTATGAGCCCGAGTTAATGGGAATAGCAGTTTTGTACTTAGAAAGGAGATAATATCCATAGACTAAAAATATTGTGTCCTGTGGCCATTTGCCAGCAACTTGGTAAAGCTTTCTGTAAAACCTGGCATTCATTCCCCTTTTTAAAGGCTTGTTTAATCAAAGCTGCTCCCTTGGTATTCATTCTTGGAAAACAGAAATTAAATAGAATGAGAAGGCACTGCAGCCCCTCTCTGCTGCACCACCGGCTAAGAAAAGTCCTGAGTAATCAGATCAATTCGGTTCACAGATGCTTGTCAGACAAGCGCCGGAGTATCCCCACTGGGAATATTCCTTTACCAGGTCTCTCTCTTTGCAGCCCCTTGCCAGCTACAGTTTGCTCCGGGACACAATGTCTTCAGTGTGGAAGACAACAGAGCCCGAGCTTCCTGCCCCATTCCCCCTTCATCGTGTTGCTAGTGTTGCTAGTGTTGGGAGAAAGGAGGGTGAGAGGCAGCTGGCCCAGTTTCCTGAAATGTCAGGCTCCTGGGGGCTGGCGGTGGGGGGGGGGGATAGGAGCAGAGTGTGCCACCTGGGCGGGGTTCACTCACTGCAGCTGGGGCCACGGGCAAATTCTGATCCAACCTGTGCTCATGGGCAGCCATCCGTGGCTTTCAGGCCTGCCGTGGAACAAGTGACAAGAATTCAGCCTCCGGTCTCCGGAGAACAGAGCCGTCCACTTCCAGGGGTCATGTTTCCAGGGGGGAGGAAGGACCCTTCTGCCTCCTAAGACCAGGAATGCCAATGGGTCAGCAAGCCCCCAAGATCATGTCCTACCCCCCCGCCGCCCCACCGAGGACGCACAGAGCATCATCTTCCAATGGGGCTGTAGGGGGCTATAAATATGAGGCCATGTTCCCAATGCATTTTTTCAGTGTAAGGTGGACATTTTATAAAAGCCTTGATTCCTCTTTCTTCCCTGGTTCCACCCCTATCCCAGCTCAGAGATAGGAGGTGGGGGACAGAAGTAGGAGGGAAGAGTGCCTGGGCGAAAAAAAAAAAAGCACCATAAAAAATCCTACTGTGAACCTTTAACTTGGCTTGGACAGTATTATTATGAGTGTGAGTAAGCGGGTGAGAGGCAAGCCTTCGAATGTTTTTAAGAGCCATGTGTACAAACGAAAAATGCTATAGGTACAGAATCCTTTACTGGTAAGGCTGCCAAGGATTCGACCCTCTTGAAATCTCTCATTCCTTTTCCAAAATCTGCCTCGGTCCTATTTTCTGATTCAGGCTTCACTGATCTTAAGGACAACAGACCCCATCTATTTGAAGACGTGTCTCTCCCAACATATGAAGAGTCATCAGGGGTGCTGTATGTGGAGAGGGAATTGTCCAAAACTACTTTTTCCTTTCTTGAGCATTTTAGCAAGAAGAACCTGGAGTAGAACGTGTTTTGCAGACTCCTGAGTTAGCAGGCAGATGCCACAGGGCAACGAACAAGTGGTGTGCGTGGTGGGGGGGTAGAGACATGTGGGGAGCAGGAAGGGTGCTGTCACTTGGGAAATCAAGGGGACACCAAGAACAGAATTTGCTGGAACAAGCTAGAAGGGAAGGAGCAGAGGCTGGGCCGGGAGAACTCGATTCTCACTAGAGTTCCGGGGCCCAGGCAAAGTCCTCAGCTCCTTCCCTCATCCGGAAATAAAATGCTGCTCAGTGCACCTAAAAAGTCCCAGCCAGCCAGCACCCACAGCGGCAAGGACAACCTTATTCCCAGGAAGAGGGCAAGAACAGCTCGCTGCCGCATCTCAGAGCCTGGTGCAAGCCGGAGTGGGGAGAGAATGACTTCCCCTGTTGCCCTCCCGGTAGCTCAGCTAGTAGCAAGGTCATTGCTCTTTTAATTTCATCCTTTGTCTGCCCCAGTGAAGACAAAGCACATTTCACTTTATGCAAAAGTCCTTCCCTAATGGAAAGGCCGAGAGAAAGCTCCTTAATGGAGGAATCGCTGCACTAGATCACTTTGCCTCCAGCTGCGAAACTGATTAATGTCCTGAGAGTCTCCGAGGAGGCTTCCCTGCCATCACGGTGGCCCTTGCTGAGCAGAGGGGGAGGTG